ATACGAAGATTTCAAAGCGTACATGTTTCGTTCCCACAGACGGGCCCAAATTGCACGAGTAAAAATCTGTCAATCGTTGAAATATGTCGAAGTGCACCCCTAGTCTTCGAGTATCATCCAATCCATGAGTTGCAAGACAAAAAGAGGTTAGAGGGACCCCCGACATTGAGTCAAGGGAGACCCCTCCAATGCCTAAGTCAGTACTGCGATCAATATCTGAATAGGCGAGTGTATGAATTAGAAAAATAATATAGGTGTGTGCATGTGAAGTATAGAGCCGAGGTACTCATACTTGAAGCCCCCTTTTTCTTGGGTCATCACCCCTCTATATAGAGAAGATTAAAGAGCCACTTACCAGGTTGTCTTGTGCAGCTATCAATGTAGAGAGATAGACATGGGCTAGCCTTCTAAAAAACACTCATTACTTGTCTTTATTTATTGTAACGGGTCTCACTTGTGATATATGTCAATACATTTATATTCCTTCCTTGGGAGTGGGGTTAGCGGACCCACTTAACAAATAATGTTCCGTAAATATTTGAATTTGATATATTACGTTTCATGAAGTTAGATTTTGATATATCGGTATTCAATTTCACTGTGATCTAATCTAAATCATAAATATTCATATACATATATAATGAAATTAAGTGGTTATTTTGATCATATGGCGTTAAATTCAAATAAAATTTGCAAACTTTAGCTCAATTGAGTTTGTTGGGGTTGATGAGCTAAGCCCAAGGGCCCAACCCATGTTACAAGCCCAAGGGCCTAACTCCAAGAGGTCTAGCTAGCCAAGGCCAAAGGAGTCTGCACCCAGACAAGCTCACCAAAGTCAAGGAGCTACATTAGTAGGGGGCATGCAAGGGTCATCCAAGAGCCTCCTCTATCACCTTGGAGTAAGGGAGCATCCAAGAGCCTTACCCTCACAGCTTGGAGAGAATCAACCCCCCTCATCCTTGATCAAGTCCTTTAGAGAGCACCATAACTTCCTTGCCAGTTGAGGAGAGGAGAGGTCGAGGAGAGGAGAAGGTCGCCAAGATAATTAATTACTAGTAAACGGCCCCAATTATGACCGTCAGATTAGCTATTCAATTACTAGGCAGGTGACTATAAATTGTAAGCTCCCCCAACACTTGGGGGCATCTCATAAAAATCAAGCTCATCTCCTTTCTCTTTTGTAATTCTGGCTCTTCCAACGCACCGAAGTCAATAAAATTCTCGACGAACCTAGCCATTGAAAGTAGACGTAGGTATCATTGGCCGAACCACTATAAACCTTATTTTCTCTCTCCCTCTACTTTACTGGATTTTATATTGCTTAATTGACAGGTGGTGTGCAAATCGATTTTGTGCATCATCAGTTTGGCGCCGTTTGTGGGAAACTGCAAAATTCTCACCTAACCATTTTTTTTGCTTAATCAAAGTCAATCACCATGAGAAGCCTGAGACATCAATATCAGGAAAAGTAGTAGAAATCTTTCCCTGAAGCTCTTCATAACCGTCAATGAAGGCACCTGCAAGGCCACACTCTAAGTCCCTCTCAGCTATCACAGCTCTCTCATGAGCTGCCTTCACCTCTGCCTCTGCCGCAGCCTCTCTGAACATGACCCTTTCATGGACCTCCGTAAGCTTAGTCTCAAGCCTGGTCACCCTCCCACGGGTCGCTGAAAGCTCAACCTCACTAAGCGTGGTTCTCTCAGGGACCTCCGCAAGCTCAGTCTCGATCTCGGCCACCTTCCCATGGGTCGCCAAAAGCTCAGCCTCACTGAGTGTGGCCCTCTCATGGACCTCAACAAGCTTAGCCTCGAGCCTAGACACCCTCCCATGGGTCATTGAAAGCTCAATCTCAGGACCAGTCTCCCTCTCACGGGTTGCCACAAGCAACATCAGAAGCCCTGCCAGTAGTTTCAAGCTCGGTGGTCCTTATCTGAGCAGCAAGAAACTAATTTTGCACCACTCCATGATTGTGTTTCAGCTTGTGATAAAGGAGGATCCTTGAAAGTAAACACATAGCTGCAGTGGAGGCCTAAAGAGAAACAGAAGGCAGAAAAATGTCAGAAACTTATGGAAGGAAGGGAGAGAACAAACCCTTACCTGAGCCGAGCCTTCTAGGAAAGAGTTGAGGATCCCCTTGGTGCCCAAGACACTAATCCCATTCACATCATTGGTGAAAAAAACCTCCTAGGCCTATCCCTGATGACCTATGCGTTACCCAGCATGCAGTTAATCTGATTAGGTACCCTAGAAGAAGTCCCCACAGGAGAAGTGGATGAATGGGGGGCAGAAGATGTGGCCAACAAAACGAGACTCTAGACGAGATTCTGGGGCAGGAGGTGCAGCTGTGGGAGCCTCTGACCAAGGAGGCACCTCTGTATTGATCACTTGATGGGAGAGCGCTCGAGGTGCCAGTGGAGGGGTTGACTGAGGAGAGCTCACCTCAGGCGGTATAGTTGGAGAGGTCACTTGGGAGGTATCCACCTTCCTCGCCACCTTATAAGGAGGAGGACTCCTACTAGAAAGGCAGGACCCAATCATATCCCTATCTACTGCTCCAAAAAAAATGAAGTGTTATCCACATAAAAAAACACCAAGTGAAGGAAGAAAAAAAATCAACTCACCTTTCCTCTTCGAAGAAGAGCCAGACTCCGAGGAGGGAGTAATGGTCCTAGCATTCTTGGGCAAGAGGACTCACAAGTCCTTGTTGGGATGAGTCCTCACGGCCTGTAATTTCCACTCTTGGTATTTGGAGAGCACAAACGGATCTACAAAGGAATGATGGATAAGTACAAAAAAAAAGGCAAGTAAGTGTAAGGGCGTACCGAGTTTTCTAGCAACACTCCATCGTGTTGGTACCAAAGCCTTATCGGCCTCTGCAGCCCACTCTCTACCAACGAATAAGAAACGAGATTTCTAGCTATGGCAATTGGAGGGTAATCCCGTAAGCAACTTACCACCTCTCATGGTGAAATAATACCACCCTCTATTTGGAGCAGGAGTCTTGCTTAAGTTATAAGCTGTATGGAACTCCACAAGAGAAGCATCCTCATGATGCACCATTCTCCACAACACAAGAAAGCCCAACAAAACTCTCCAACCATTGTGCGACAATCGCCCCCGAGTGAGTGAAAAATAATAAAGAATACTGCAAAGAGAAGGAGATATGGGAAACCTGAGCCCAGCCTNGTCGCCAAAAGCTCAGCCTCACTGAGTGTGGCCCTCTCATGGACCTCAACAAGCTTAGCCTCGAGCCTAGACACCCTCCCATGGGTCATTGAAAGCTCAATCTCAGGACCAGTCTCCCTCTCACGGGTTGCCACAAGCAACATCAGAAGCCCTGCCAGTAGTTTCAAGCTCGGTGGTCCTTATCTGAGCAGCAAGAAACTAATTTTGCACCACTCCATGATTGTGTTTCAGCTTGTGATAAAGGAGGATCCTTGAAAGTAAACACATAGCTGCAGTGGAGGCCTAAAGAGAAACAGAAGGCAGAAAAATGTCAGAAACTTATGGAAGGAAGGGAGAGAACAAACCCTTACCTGAGCCGAGCCTTCTAGGAAAGAGTTGAGGATCCCCTTGGTGCCCAAGACACTAATCCCATTCACATCATTGGTGAAAAAAACCTCCTAGGCCTATCCCTGATGACCTATGCGTTACCCAGCATGCAGTTAATCTGATTAGGTACCCTAGAAGAAGTCCCCACAGGAGAAGTGGATGAATGGGGGGCAGAAGATGTGGCCAACAAAACGAGACTCTAGACGAGATTCTGGGGCAGGAGGTGCAGCTGTGGGAGCCTCTGACCAAGGAGGCACCTCTGTATTGATCACTTGATGGGAGAGCGCTCGAGGTGCCAGTGGAGGGGTTGACTGAGGAGAGCTCACCTCAGGCGGTATAGTTGGAGAGGTCACTTGGGAGGTATCCACCTTCCTCGCCACCTTATAAGGAGGAGGACTCCTACTAGAAAGGCAGGACCCAATCATATCCCTATCTACTGCTCCAAAAAAAATGAAGTGTTATCCACATAAAAAAACACCAAGTGAAGGAAGAAAAAAAATCAACTCACCTTTCCTCTTCGAAGAAGAGCCAGACTCCGAGGAGGGAGTAATGGTCCTAGCATTCTTGGGCAAGAGGACTCACAAGTCCTTGTTGGGATGAGTCCTCACGGCCTGTAATTTCCACTCTTGGTATTTGGAGAGCACAAACGGATCTACAAAGGAATGATGGATAAGTACAAAAAAAAAGGCAAGTAAGTGTAAGGGCGTACCGAGTTTTCTAGCAACACTCCATCGTGTTGGTACCAAAGCCTTATCGGCCTCTGCAGCCCACTCTCTACCAACGAATAAGAAACGAGATTTCTAGCTATGGCAATTGGAGGGTAATCCCGTAAGCAACTTACCACCTCTCATGGTGAAATAATACCACCCTCTATTTGGAGCAGGAGTCTTGCTTAAGTTATAAGCTGTATGGAACTCCACAAGAGAAGCATCCTCATGATGCACCATTCTCCACAACACAAGAAAGCCCAACAAAACTCTCCAACCATTGTGCGACAATCGCCCCCGAGTGAGTGAAAAATAATAAAGAATACTGCAAAGAGAAGGAGATATGGGAAACCTGAGCCCAGCCTCTAGCATTTCCTCATAGATGACAATGTCCCCAGAAGAGTCATCAGAGGCAGGCTCACCCATCTCAGCTCGGTGGCACAGCACAGTCAGAGGGATGTGATAGGAGGAGATAATCAGCACAATATCGACGTCCGTATTTAAGGTGCTGGAGATAGTACTTACTTTGGACCCATCATCATCCAGAGCTACCTTGCCTCGATGCTTCTTGGCGCAAGGACGTAAAGCTCTGTCCAGGCCATTACCAGAAAGGTCTCTAGGAGTCTAATTTTGAGCAGTTGCACTCGAAGGAACCGGAGCTAGTTGTTTGTCCAAGCTACCTGGCACAGCAGGCTGCTCGCCCAAGTTGCCCAGCGCAGTAGGCTCACCCATCTCATTGAACTACTTGCCCAACCTGCCCAAGTTAGTGCCAATAGGGGTGCCCAAAGCCTTCCCCACGCATGCACACACTTGCGCCTCTACGCACTCTGCAGCAGCTAAAGACGAGACCAGCTTGCCCATCGTGGCCCTCTCCCTCGCATCTACAGCCTGTGTTGTCCCAATCTGCATGCCTATAGTCGCCTGCCCTCTTCCATCCTTGCCAAAAACAGCCCAGAGCTACACGCAAAGGGTGCCCAAGTAGGCTGCTCACCAAGCGGGCTGTTCGCCTAGTAGGAGGCTCGTCCAGGCTTTCCACCACACTCCTTGCTCACCCAAGCCCAAGCTGGACATCCTGCTCGCCGACCTAACTCTCTTGGATAACATGGACAATCTGCTCAGTACGCCAAATGACTGGATTTACATAAACCCCTACGCACCCAAAGCCAGCTGCCTAACCTGTTCGCCTCTCCACTGCGCGCGCCAGCCTCACGGCCAGACAGCTCGTCCAAACTATTCTCATCAACCCCAATATGGGAGCCCAGCACCGCCCTCTCGCGCACAACAAGCACACCCAACAGCGCCCAACTACGCCTCCACTCTACCACCAACGCCTCCTTCTCCCAAGCTCTCTCATTGGTCAGTAAAGGCTCCTTCATCTTCAGTAACAGCGGGTATCTGCATTCTTTTTTCCTCAATCGACATGGCCTTGAAATTCTCAAACTCAAGAAAATCTGTGAAAGATTTCAAAAAGAACACTCTCTTTCATTCTCTCAATGCTTCTATGGAATTGATGGAGTATGGGTTCTCAAGGGTTTTAGGAAAGAGCACAATCTCAAGTTGAAAGAAATTGGTAAAATGAAGAATAAAGCTACTATTTATAACCTAGCGTTTTTAAAAAAAAAAATTAATTTCAAATTAAAAAAGGGCCATAACTCCAAACGGGGCTTATTATATATGAAAATCGAAGTTCTCGACGAGCTGAGCAGAACAGTGCCCAGCTCCCCCAAACCACTTGCCTAGCTCTCTACTCAAAATTTAGACCGTAACTTTTACTCCGTTATTCAAAATGAGACTTATAATATATCAAATCGAAACTCTCAGCGAGCCCTACAAAACACACAACCTTTGGATATGACTGATGTTGTAAAAAGTCAAAAAAGGCTTGGAAGTAGATGTTTTGGCCTCTTGAAATTTTTTCAATTGTGTTGATCAACCGAAAATTCGAACTTAATCGAATGCCCTCCTTTCCAAGTTCTATTAGACCCAGGGTATTAAGGGGAAAATGATGAGTTAAGGCCAAAGACCCAACTCATGTTACAAGCCTAAGAGCCCAACTCTAAGAGGTCCAGCTAGCCAAACCCAAAGGAGTTTGTACCCGGACAAGTACATGCTCATCAAAGTCAAGGAGCTATATCAGCAGGGGACATGCAAGGGTCATCCAAGAGCCTCCTCTACCACCTTAGAGTAAGGGAGCATCCAAAAGCCCCACCCTCACCCTCACCCTCGTAGCTTGGAGAGAATCAACTTCCCTTATCCTTGACCAAGTTCTTTGGAGAGCACTATAAATTCTTTAACGGTTGAAAAGAGGAGAGGTCGAAGAGCGGAGAAGTTGCCAAGATAATTAATTACTAGTAAACGGGCCCAATTATGACCGTCAAATTGGCAGAATCACTATAAACCTTGTTTCCCCTCTCTCTCTACTTTACTGAATTTTATATTACTTAATTGATAGGTGGTGCAAATCGATTTTGTGCATAATCAGGGGTTATATTGAATTGAATATTACATCAAATTTTAAATTTCTAATAGACTCAGATTTATATTATAAATAGAGATCAAAATTTTGTTTATTTTTTAGCATAACATTCTAGAGTTTTTATTTTTACGAACACCGAAACGAATTAATTATTAAATATTAAAAGCAAGCACGATGAATGTTTTGAAAATGATTTTTGAAATTTTTTCTCTTTTTTTGTTTTTAAATATTTGTAAAACGTTCCTTTTATTGAAATTATGAACGAGATTTTAACTGAATTTGGCTGAAAGCTTATCGGAGTCACGACGTTGACCCGATCACTGCACATTTTCCCGTGAGATCATAAGAAGCCATTGAGTCAATTTTCAATCTTCATCAGATCTTAATATTTCATTTGTGTCATTAATTACACGTTCATGTTTCTATTAACATCCCTAATCAATCTCGTCCGTCCATCGTAACCTCGTTTACCACTATGAAATCTCCGCCGTCCTTTGGCTCACTGCTCTTTTGCCGCGCTAGTCAACGTTGTCGTAGAGTCTTTAGCGCCAATTTATTATTTTAAGAAGAATAATCTTTATTAAAAGCCCCTTCACTTCACAGAATTATCCTCTACAACTGAAATACACAGAAGGACTACTACGCCATCCAATCATATAATGCCAACACACAAACTTCAACTTTCCGCCACGTGATAAGTGACACGCAACCAAGCTGACCAAACATATTAATTAATCTAAATTTATTTTTCAAATTTATATATATTTTAAATTAAATTAAAGTTTTACTGATTTATTGTACCAATCAATTTAGAAGGGAACTTGAGTGTTTAAATTATTCACAAGTTTAAAAATATATTTCAACTTGATATTTTTATTATACGAGCTTGATAAATTAATTTCACGCGAGATCGAGGAACTTGGTTCCTTTTACAATTCTAATGCCAGGGTCAAAATTAGAGTCTATGATTTGCTTTCCTATGCTAGAGGGCACTAGATAGTTATTCAGTCGAAGTCCCCTACTTATATAAATACTCTTGAAAATACATGTCTTTCTTGATCCTATGGCCCAGTTACGACCATAGACCCTCCTATGAAATTAAACCGTCAGCTTATTCTAGTCAATTACGCACCGTCGGATGTGATTACCACGCGAATCATACCGTCCAATATTTACAAAATTGAATTTCAAAAACTCCAGAGGGAGGAGCACAAGAAAGCGTATTTGCTTCTCTGTGTGTGTGTGTGTGTGTGTTTGTTTACAGACCTCATATACACATATATGTACACATATGTGTCTGTATAGATTGAGGTTTGGTTGATTCAGAAAATCTATGAAGATTTACGGCTAGCATTGGGATTATTTCGTGGTGAATCTGAGCTGTTCAATGAGAGAGTTTCGAATTTCGAATTTTATTTTCAGGAGTTTTTTTGAGAAAGTTGTTGAATTTGGCGGGATTTGTGAAATTCCTCTGGCTATTGGTGTGGATTTGAGTTTAAAATGACCGAGAATTTTGAAACTTGTTGGTAAATTTTTTGTTTTTATTTGATTTTTGATGGAGAACGGTGAAGGAGGGGATGTCCCTCGAAATAAGGCTTCGCCGGAATTTCCACCAAAGAAGCTAGGGAGGCAGCTAGATTTTACGAGCTATGGCGGTGCATCGGCGGCAGCTGTTGCGTTGCCGGAGCACCCTCAGCAGCCGAAGCCGACTCCGCCGACAGTGCCACCACCGAAGCCACAGCCACAGCTACAGCTACAACCACGACCTCAGATACAGTCACAGCAACATGGACAGATGCTTTTTATGCCGACGCAACAACCTCAGGCGCCACCTCATCTTTCGTTAAGGCCTTTGTAAGTCTTTGCAATCCTTTTATTTGGTTGCGATTCAATGAAATAAATTCAGAATTTGTTCGACAGATTTGGTCTTGGAATGTTGCAAGTTTTGAAATTTAAGACTATTTTTAGGGTTCATGTTGAATATGTATCTATTTCAAGATTGAACAATTCAATTTGAAATTTTGTAAGTTACTCGTGATGGTGCTCGGAAATACTGGCCCGAATTAGCCCAAGTTCAGAACCGTGGCCCGTGGCCCAAAGGGGATGTATAAGAAATATAACCACTAGAAAGGGGAGAACTGCTAGGGGAGAACTGCTAGGGGAGATCTAGGACACAGTGCAAGTGGTTCACTTTAGCCGAAGGATTAAAGCTACATCCACTATAAGAGAGTCTCTTGCTCCTTAGGGTTGTATATTACTCGATTTCTGGTGAGTGAAATGGTAATGCTGGTTCAGGTGCTATTCTTTAGATAAGCTTGATTGTGTGGATAACTCGAGAGTGCAACGAGGAAGATGATACTGTAGTGTAATTGATGTACTCTCTAATTTAATCAGAAACTTTTATGTCAAAACCTCTCGTTGAGACTGAGAAGCTGCTGGAACTCTCTTCCAGAAGAAATGGAATCTCTCCAAATCAAGTATTTGGGTTTTCAATTCTCTCTACCTTTCTTTATTGAAATGTCTGGCTTAATATAGCCATCCAACAGAAACAGAATAGCAATAATAGTGCAACAACTAACAACTAATAGTAACAAATGGGAAAGAAACAAAACTAATGTAACAACTTCAGCCTTGAAATTCTCCTTGAAATGTTCTGACTTGTATTGCTTGGAGATTGAAATGGTCACGCAAGAGACTTGGTCAAATGTGGAAAGAATTAGGAACCCAGACCACCAATCACCTCACGTGCTCTGTTTGCATCAATTGCGTCCCTCCCCAAAGAACTTGCCTCCGGCAAGTTTCGTTGCAGATATTCTTCCATAATTGCTGGGCTCAAGCGCAAAACTTCACCCGCAGGAAGTCACATAGCTTCGGATAATGGTCTGTTCTTCCAGCTAACTAGACACTTGTGATATCCCCCGCGACGCGTTGAAACAAATTGATGATCATGGATAGCATCAACCTCGTCACGTTTTGCTGGCATAGTAGGAATTTGAACCACTGGTTCCTCTGGTGGTTCATCTTCTATTACCTCACCTTTGTACTCCGTCAAGTCTTCGACATTGAAAATTGGGCTAATGCAATAGTTTGGTGGTAAGTCTACAACATATGCATTGGTGCCCAACTTCTTAAGGATTGGAAAAGGTCCTACCCGTCGAGCATGAAGTTTGTTATAGCTGCCTGGAGGAAATCGTTCTAAGCGAAGCCTGATCAAAACCATATCACCTACTTCATATTGCTTGTCTCTTTTTTTTTATTTGCTTGGTTGGAGTATTCCTCCATCTGGACCGCAATCTTCAATCGAATATCATCATGCATAGTGGACATATATTTGGAGAAATCGAGTGCTGCTTCGCTAACCTGCAGTGGCATAGGAAGAGATCTGATATCTAGGGGAGTTTTTAGATTGTACCCATAAACAATTTGAAACGGTGTGCACCAAGTTGTTCAGTTTACTGAATTGTTAAAGGCAAATTCTGCTTTAGGCAAAATTAAATCCCAACTGGTTGTATGATCTTGGACGAGGCATTGAAGCAAATTGCCTAAACTCCGGTTTGTGACTTCTGTTTGGCCATCCTTCTGTGGGTGGAACGTACTGGAAAAGGCTAACTTTGTACCCATCTTCGACCATAACGTTTTTCAAAAATAATTCACAAACTTCACATCACGATCAGAGACAATTGTAGATGGGATTCCATGCAAACATATTATCTCATTTAGGAACAAGGTTGCAACTTGCGAAGCATCATAAGTTTTTCGGCATGGCACAAAATGGGCCATCTTTGAAAAACGATCGACAACCACCATCACTGAATCATTATCTTGAAGGGTTTTGGGCAAAACCCAACACAAAGTCCATGCTAAGATCAACCCATGGTCGGTGCGGTATCAGCATGAGAGTATACAACCCAGAGTTTTGTTTAACCCCTTTATTAACTTGGCATACTCGATAGCGGTTGACAATAGTGTGCACATCATGACGCATCCTTGGCCAGAAAAAACGATCGGCAACGACTGCAAGGGTCTGGTCATAGCCAAAAAGTCCTGCGAGACCACCACCATGGAGTTCACAAATTATGAACTCTCTCAAGGACCCTTCTGGCACACAAACTCGAGATTGTCTGGTGAGGAACCCATCCTTGATAGAGTAATCAGACACCATGGTGGGTGGATCTTGCTTGAGGTCCTCCCAAACAACCTTGAAATTTGGATTTGTAGCGTATTGATCCTTCATTGCTTCAAATCCCGTAGCATTTACACAAAAAATGGGCAACAAGTGTGATCTTCGACTAAGAGCGTCGGCAGCCTTGTTTTCCTTTTTGACTTTATGTTTAATTACGAACTCAAATTGCTGGAGGAAATCAAACTAGCAAGCATGTTTTGCGTTCAACCTATTTTGAGAATGGAGGTGCTTCAAGGAGTCATGGTTGGTGAAAAGAATAAACTCACGATGTATAAGGTAGGGCTGCCAATGTTTCAACATTTGGATCAATGCATAGAACTCCATATCATAGTTGTCAAATCATGTATCGGAAGGCGTATCATTTTTTAAAAATAGTGTATCGTATCGTATCGTGTATCGTAAGATACACGCAATTTTAATTTTTAAATACTTATTAATAAAATATATGTATATACCTTTGTAAAAAAGTCATAGACTCATAATAACATCGCATTTCATTAATATTCCACCAATTATTCAAGTTCCTAACATAGTTTAGTAATATCAAAATGTTAAAATCTCTAATTCAAACTTCTAACATCAACTACTTGAATAACCTTAATATTAATTAGGAATTTTGAATTCAATTGAACAACATTAACAACATATTTTTTTTTTTTAAAAACTATAACTACTGAAACGATGTTGTTTCACTAGCTAGTAATTTAAAAATAAGTTATAGGGTAAAACGATGTCATTTCAACCATAGTTATCAAATCGTGTATCGGAAGGCGTATCGTAAGATACAAATATTGTATCGTATTGTGTATCGTAAGATACGGTATAATTTTAAATAAATAATAATAAAATATATATACTTTTGAAAAAAAATTATACACTCATAAAAGTATAACATTTCATTAATATTCAACCAACTATTCAAGTCATCAACGTAATCCACTACTATTATAATGTTAAGTTCACAACCATAGTTCACTAATTCAAACTTCAAACACCAGAGAGGTTCGATGGAGTACCTGGAGAAGGAAGAAGGCAGCTTCGATGGAACCTACAGTCGAAGAACCCATAGTCGAAGTCGAAGAACCCACAGTCGAAGTCGTTGAAGGAGACTGGAGAACCCACGGTCGACGGAGGCTGAAAAACCCACAATCGAAGACCCAGAGACCTCTGACCAGCGATGAGTGAACGATAAAGAAGAGAAGTGAGGGATTTTATTTTTTTTGTAACCCTAGCCACTGAAACGACGTCGTTTCAGTGGTTATAGGGATTAAAAAAATTAAATTCTTGACACAAAACGATGTCGTTTCTAAAAACAAAAAAAAAAAACAAAAAAAAAAATTAAATTGCACGTATCGTGCGTATTGTACCGATACGTATCGTGTATCGGACGATACGACGCAAAAATAATACATAACTACGATTCGTATCGTTTTAGGCATGTATAATAACGTATCGTATGATACGTATTGCGTATCGTACGATACTAACAACTATGATTTCAACCCCAAAAAATAAAAAAAAAAATAAAAAAATAGAATCGTCACGTATTGTATCGTATCGTACGTATTGTATCGTGTATCGTACGATACGGTGTAAAAACGATACAGAGGCACGATACGTATCGTTTTTTAGGTGTATCGACGTATCGTACGATACTAATAACTATACTTCATATTATAGGCGGAGTATTTTTGTCGTGTTTCATTAAGCTTTTCGCTAAAAAAAGCTATAGTATGCCCTTCTTGACTCAAAACACCACTGATGCCGACATGAGAGGCATCACAGGCTACCTCAAAAACCTTAGAAAAATCAGGTAATTTGAGAATTGGGGTGGTTGACAATTGTTTCTTAATTTCGGAAAATGCCTTAGCTGCTGCAACAGTCCATTTGAACACCTTCGCCCTCAAGCATTCAGTAAGTGGGGACATTATAGTGCTGAATCCTTGTATGAAACGCCTATAAAAAGTCGCCAGCCCATGGAAGCTTCGAATATCAAAAAAGAACAAGGTGTTGGCAGTCAAGTATGGCTTGAACTTTTGAAGGATCAGCTTCCACTCCTCTACATGACACTATGAATCCCAAAAAATTCGCCTGCGGTTTGAGAAAAGAGCATTTGCTGCGATTGAGAAAAAGTTGCTCCTTTCGCAAAGTATCTAACACTTGACAAAGATGAACAAAATGATCTGATACCGAATGACTAAAGATGAGGATGTCATCGAAATATACCATCACAAACTTTCCTAAGAATGGCTTAAGTGCTTGGGTCATCACTCGCATGAACGTACTTGGCGCATTGGTCAAGCCAAATGGCATCACAAACCATTCATAGAGTCCCTCCTTTGTTTTAAAAGCTGTCTTCCATTCGTCTCCAGGCCTAATACGAATCTGGTGGTATCCACTGCGCAAATCAAGTTTAGTGAAAATGACAGCATCTCCTAATAAATTCAACATATCGTCAAGCCCAGGAATGGGAAATCGATACTTCACGGTTTTCTTATTTATGGCTCTGCTGTCGATACATATGCGCCAGGTGCCATCTTTCTTTGGTGTAAGTAATGTAGGTACGACGCATGGACTTAGACTTTCGCGAACAAACCCATGGTCCAGCCATTCTTGGACTTGGCGCTGAAGCTCAGTGTACTCGGTCGGGCTCATCCGGTAATGGGGCAGGTTGG